AATTGTCAATCCTTATTATTTAACAGCGTTCTCACGCAAATATACTGGTTTATTTTCTTTCAAGCAACTCTTATTTTTTTTTGTGAACACCAGTTGTCCATGTCTCAAATAAAATTAGTTGCTAAAAAAGGCGCGGCACTCAAGCGCTACCTTGGGATACTACAAGTTTAAACGTCCAAGCCAAGGCCTGTTAGAATGCAGCTGATCCTTTTGTTCAAAGAGTAAGCAGCCAAACAGAGGACACAACTTAGAATAGGCTACCACTTCCGAGTTGCCAAGCGTCTGTTTCAAAGCGAGGCTAAGTGCGAAGCAATAGAAATGGAAATGATTTTGTATTTTCATGCAAATGAAACTCATTTTCTCAAGAAAGGTTTTGCACTTAGCCTCGTTTTGAAAGTGAGAGTTTTTGGAACTCAGAACTGGCTTATTGACGGACTCTGTGTGCGGCCAACCCTAGACGTTGAGCAGCTATTATAAATGACAAGTTCGACAAGGATGACTGTTGAACAATATCATTTACCAGGACTAAACCTGCTCAACTCTTAAAACAATAAAAAAATCCACTTCAGTATTTGAACATAATATATATAAGTATAAGGTAACATCGAATGACATGAAAATCAACAAAAAAGACAGGTCATGATATTTTTTCAGTTACATCAAATAAAATCAGGAAATATTAAAATGACAACTAACCTTTAAAATCCCAAAGAAATACGGTGAAAAACAACAGTGGAAAGTACTACTTAGTAGACTTAGCTGGAATGATCGCACTCAAATAAGACTGTCATTTGTGGTTTTGACACATCGACAGCCATCTTAAGATCGTGTAACATGCTGTAATCAGCAGCACAGGAAAAGCAATATTTTTTCTTTTGGATCAGGCGTGTTTTTTTCTTGAAGATTTTCTTAATTACAAGCAGGAGCAGTAATACGACTGATTTCCAGTCAGCTGTCTCAACATTTACTACACGCAGTAGTTTCAATCGAGGCTCCCCCCCCTTCTTTGGGGGTGGGGGAGTACCGGTGTCTGTAATCAGAATTTTGTTATCTTTATACCTAATATCACTGTTTCAATTATACCGAGACATGTAGACCGAGCCTTTACGGGGGAAAATTAAACTTTGTTGCCTAACGAATGATGTCATGAGGAATGGCAGTTTTGACCGCCAATGAAGCTTATTTCGTTATCTTTTCGTTTTACTTTTGTTTAGCTCAGATCTCTGAAGAGCATCAATTTGGAAGAAACAGGTGAAGCAAGAGGTGAAAATCACGGGAACTTAAACCTGACTACAGGAACTCAACAAAAACCGTACGTTAATAACAATAACAATAATAATAATAATAATAATAATAATAATAATAATAATAATAATACTAATAACAATAATAATAATAATAATAACAATGATGATGATGATGATGATGTCTGTCAGGAGCCCATCATGATGGGCTCCTGTGTCTGTGAAGCCCTTTCCTCATTATTATACAAATTACATTAATGTCAAATATCTCGACCAGTTGCAGATCTTAACATTTGTCAATACCTGGTAAAACTCCCATCCCGGTAACACACCACTATTGGTAAGAATTTTTTGGTGGGCAAATCAAGGGGGAAGCGTGTTTTATCTCCGGGTGGGCTAAAAGAAGTTTAGCAATGCATTGAGTAGGTAAGAAATACATTGGTATACATACAATCTTGTAAGCTGGCTTGAAGTTTTAAAGCTCTCCTTAACATAACAGTGAGACACTTAAAAACAAAGTCAAACTTGAAAGTATTAGTGGTAACTCGAGCACAAGCGAGACAAACTTTACTGCTTAGGTTCACCATCATAACAACAGTGATAATGGGTACTAGGTACAACACGGAAAGACAGGGTTCGTAACCGTTGTTCAAAAAAAAAAAAAAGAATAAAATTCAAGGACTTTTCAAGGACACATTTCTCCCGTATCAATTAAGGACTCCATTCAGTGCAAAAAGAGCCTTGAGTCAATGTCTTTTTTAGTTCTTCCACAACATGAACAACCTTATCCTAAAGGTCTTTCTGTTTGCTGGGTTGGATGAAGTTAGCATCAAAATTAAAGGACTTTCATCCTTTACTGACATCCGATGTAGAGTAGGTGAGGTTATGACTGGAAAGAGGGGTTATAAACAAACTTTTTTTTGGTTTGTATGTAGATGGATCTATAAAAGAGGGACTTCTATCCGCAGAGTCAATTCAAGCGACAAATTGTGAAATCGAGTGGTTTGTCAAGTCAAAAATCCGGGAAAACTAAACAAAAAGTAATAGAAAAATAAAGCACGAGGAAAATAAAACAAAAGCTACAATAAAATAATCAAGGCTCGTGAGACGCTTAAACTCTCGTCCTCGGTGTAGCTCCATTGCACCGCGCTCTGTCGACAAGGCTTACTGACCATAGGATGTACTGGTGCAGTAAGAACGATGATCAGGGGAGGAAGTAGCTGCCACAGTTTCCTTATAGACACTCGCGCACTAAACAAGGAGATCATCATCATTATCATAGCCTGCGGGCAACCATTTGGGGGATCGCGAGAAGTCACGCGAGAGCGGCTCGCGAAAGGTGAGTCGAGTGCGTTCTCTCGCGCGTTCCCTCGCGGCTCGCTTCGCTCACCATATATGGAGAGCATGCTAGCAGGCTATCATTAACATAACTACCATACAGGCCCTTTCCGCGCCTAATGGCGCATCGCATAGGGCGTAGGCGGAAACAAGGAGATACCGATGAAACAAAAAATTCCACAAGTACAACTAGTCTTCGCGTGACGTTCAAAATGACTTGAAATACCATACCGGATCAAGAGATACAAGAATATAGTCCGCGTCGACTCTACTTCCTCTAGAGATGAATTCACGTAAAAGGGACAAAATTACCCCAAATAATTCAGCTATTTGAAGGAACATCTCTACGCATTCAACAAACGAAAACGATGTCATCATCGCTTGAATTCCTCTACAGACACATCACCTTCCGTCTGATGTTTATTAATCAACTTTTTCCTGTTGTGGTTTCTTAGGCAAATATGCAACTTTAATAAATTTGGAATCGGATAAGACTATAAATCCCAAATAATTTACTCTTCCTATTAGTAAATAGTGATTATATTTCAAATGTAACTTCAAACTTTCCGCTTCTTTCGTAAACACTTGTGTACAAATTTCAAGTCAACAAGGCCAGTTGTATTGTACATAAGTGCTTCGCAGTCTTTCTTCCGATTGAGAAAGGGTGGAAAATGCTGCACAGTTTCCAACTACGCCCTCAGTTTATAAACTAGCCAATCAGCGACGTTTTACCTCTATTTGTCAATGATTTCGTGCATGAATTGTATGTAGCTCACTGGAACGTAAATAAGGGTGCAATTAATCGCTAACAACTGAATGCAACAATAAGCCGATTTGGTGAGATTAAACTTGAACTACGTCACGTGACACGTTTTGCGTTACAAGCATTCCTAAGTTGAAAAAAAATAAAGCAATTTTTGATATGAATCAGTTCTTAAAGCACTATCCTCTTTTCTCTTCGTGAAAAGAGACAAGCTGTCCCAATTTGATGCCGACCTAGCCTGTTATCGGTGATATGACATCAATATTGGCACATGCCTTATCCGTTGATCTACAGCCATAAAAGCAAGTCAAACATTATTTTTCTGCCAAAGGAACTTAAGTTATGGTAAAACAGTTAATAACCACATCATCGAAGTTATTAAACTCGCCATTATATTACTGGGACTGAAATAAGTCAGTCAGTTCTTTGTGGGAAAAACTTTGGAGGACGGTCGGTAGTTGTAGCCTTCTTCCTTTAGCTTTTCAGAAAGGCAATGAAATTGGACTTGACTTTTCATAAAGTTGTTAAAATTATGAGGAAGTACTTTTCCTCTTATAAAAGCAGCGACCAGCAGCAGCACCTGCAACACCAAAGGGATAGTAGCAAGT